GAGAACAGAGAGAAACTTTCAAATGAGGGGTTTTTTGGAGTGCGGCTGTAATTTTTCTAACAACTGCTCTCTGCACCGTAGCAGTTTTATATGAAATGGGTCCATAATGCCTGAGGCCAAATCCTCAGCCGCTGTAAATAACTACTCTCCTGGAAAGTCTTGTCTTATACCCACTGAGATTTGGCATTTTACGTGCATGACTGTACCTATGACAGGGGACAAAACAGGTGCCTGTGGGGAAGCATATTAATACCTGTCTGTCCCTTTGGGACACAAAGCTGAGCCCGTCTTCGGAAGCGCTGGAAGAACCGGTGATGACACTGACCTTTCCCACCAGGCCTGGGCCGCTCATCCAGCAGGAAGCTTTTACATGGGGCTTTTGGGTGATTTATTTTTTTCCTCCCTAAACCCTAAGGGGAGTTGTAAAAGCCAGACGAGCTATTTCCACTTAGTCCCTACTGCTTCTATCTGTGGGCACCTGGCTGCAGGCTCTGCCTTGGGAGAGGAGGTTTCTGGTGGAGTTAACGGGGCCGAACCCTGCCGCCGTGCCGGGGAGGAGGATGCTGAGCCCCAGGGCAGCAGCAGCCAAGTGCTCCTGCTGAGCATTACCATGGGCCAGATTGAGAGGTGAACACTTTGTGCTGCTGCCTCTCTTACACGCACAGTGGTCCCCATCCTCAGGACAGGCAGTGGCAACCCCAGATGTGAAAATGGCTACTTGGCCAAGGGGGCTCGCTCAAAAGAAGAGGCTGGTTCGTGTGCTGAGGGGAGCTGTGCTCACACGGGCTGCTGCATTCAGCAGCAGGGAGGGGGAGAGGCAGCTCTAGCATTTGCAGCAGCTGTGTTCAGCACTCCGTGGTGTTTGCTTGGTTTCGATATTTTTTTTTTCCCTAGATATCACCCAGGCCGTGCAAGACATTGCCAGTGTAAAGCCCAGACAAAAAGCTCTGACCAAGAAAATTGCCAGGAAAAGGGAGCTGATATCTAAAGACATAACTGATGGCATCTCGCCTGAAAGAATGTACGAAAGAACTCTGGAAGGTTTTGACCAAGATCAGCTGGAGTTTCGGCACGAGGGCTCAGTCACATGTGAACCTGACCAGGAAGGATCAGAATATGATGACAAAGAAATGGGCCCGGAGGACGTACCTGACGGAGCCCAGATAAGTAAAGCCTTCGATAAATTGTGTAACATTGTGAGGGAGAAAATAAGAGTCTACAAGAGACCGGAGCCTAAACCTGAGGCCCACCCCAAGGGGCGTTACGTGCTGGTGACAGGGGAGGAAGGCTATGAAGAACCTTGCGTCATGGCCCCCTCCGTCCCGCCGGCAGGAGGGATCACAGTTTCCACTGGCAATGGGAAGGTGATGAACGGTGGTGAAGTGGAGCCCATACCGGAGCTGCCAGAGCCCGCTGAACCATCAGAAAAAGAGAAAGAGGGTATCTGTGAAAAGAGGGAAGAGTTTGAACTCCAAGAAAAACAGAAAGAGGAAGAGAAAGAATACATGTTTGAATGGGGCAAAAAAACAAGAGGAAAAATCGAGCAAATCACAAAATACCCAGACATCTCTGAGCCTGAGAGAGCTCCTTCACCTGGTCTGATAAGCCCAGCTGAGCCAGGAGTCATTCGAGAGACGGAATATGACCGAGAAGATAAGCAGGCCTTTTTGTTCAGAGAAGTGGGCTTGCCTGGCTCCATGAGCTACGAGAAGGTGGAGGTGGTGGAGTCTATCGAGAAGTTTTCAGATGACAGAATTCAGACGTATGAAGAGACAGCAATGATTGTGGAGACGATGATAGAGAAGACAAGCAAGAAGAAACCAGGTGACAAAGGCTCTTAAGTGACACACACACACCCCCCCCTCTCGATAGTCAACTTGTCTGGCATAGTTATTAAATGGCTGTGTTTTTTCCTGACCGAATGATACAGTAGTGAGATTTTTTGCTGTTTGGTATGGAACAGATTGATCCCGCGGTGGCAGTTCTGTCTGAGGTAGGCTCACTTTTGGTGCCATGGCCATTAGAGCACTCCAGGGCAACAAGTAACAGGCACATCCGATGCAAATTTTCATGATTAGGAAAAGTTGGAAGTAATTATTAGAGAGCTGCCTGACTTTCCACAGTATCTGGGGCAAATCTGCGTATTCTTTGCTGCTCCTATAGCTGCCGTGTGATTCCCCATCTCTCGGACAGCTGCAAATGTTAACTTGTGACATCTGGTTCATTCAATAAAAGCTTTGCCTTCTACTGAAGATACCCACTGTGGGTGTGTGTTGCCTTTACCGTTGACTAACAGTCCCTACTGGTAAATGTCTGCTGCCTTGGTGTGCAGGAGTTCTTCCAGGGAAGGGGTTGGATACGTGTTAAATAACCTATTCCAAGTCTCTCTGATTTACAGTCCTTAGAGGTGAGTTTCACAGACTTTTCTTTTTGGATCTAAAGACCAGCTGTGTTTGACATAAGCTCTTACGCCGTATCTTCTCAGAATAAAGCTTGAAATGCCACCAAAGTGGGGGATAACCCTTCTAAAAGCTAATGAAGGCATTATTTGTCCTTCACCAACACAGCTAAGGTATTCACGAGTGCCAACAAGCGTTTGAGCAGACTGCAGCCAACTCAAAAGACTGCGTGTTTTGGTGTTTTTCTTGTTGTGTTTCCTCGGACTGTAGCGTTTCACAGCGTTTAATGCTGCCCCGTGACCCTGCTGCTGCCCCAGCACCTGCCGTCCCACTGAGCACCACGGGACCGCCGGAACGAGCCGTGCCTTCCCACCCCTCCGGGGAAGCAAAAAGCAAATGCTTCTGCAACAGCTTCAGAAACCTTCAACGCAGAAAAAAAAAAAAAAAAAGAAAAAAGAAACCCTTCAGTTGTGAGTTGTGTATGTATGAATAATGAGCATTCGTTAAAAGTGCTGGTGCATCGTTTAGGCCTCAGCTTGACTTTTTAATAGTACAGATAATTTAATCCCACTTACACAAAGGATGTACTGAAGAGGCTGAGTGCTACAGGGTCCTTCTCCCATCCTGGGTCTCAAAGTTGTCATTTCAGCTTTTGGCCTTTGTTAAGTCTTTTTATTTCTGGCTGGTGACTCCTGTCAGCTGTGAAGGAAGTGGGGGTGGGGGAGATTGGCTAAATGCAATTGAAGCTAACGAGCCACAGCTTTGTGGCTACTTCTCACATCACCCAAGGCTTCCCTTCAACACGGTGTTGGGGTTTTTCTTCAGTGTGTTCCAGTGCAGGTATCTCATCTCTACTGCGACCTTATGGCTGGTAAGTGACACCTTCTTCTTTGTCACAGGGACAGGCGACCCAGGTAGTCACATTTCTAGTCAGGATTATTCATAATTTTTTTTTGTCACTGGTGTTTTATTGGAATGCTGTGGGAGTTTATGCCAGACATGGATTACTAGGCCGTGTGCTGCTTTTCAGCTTAATTTATTAACACTGTAAATAACCTCAGAGAAGGAATTTATCGCTGCGACCGGGGGCTGCGCTCTGAGCTGGGAGCAACTGCTCACAGTAACTGCTGGTGAGAGCAGGATTTGACTACTGCAAGGGGGAAAAACACCCAACTGCAGCAATAGGAAGGCTGTTTAGTATTTCTGTCACAAAACAGGGTGTAAACAGATTCAGGCAGCACCTGGCCAGAACTGGGCATCCCCCCTGCATCCCATTTCATTGCAATACAGAGAATTTCATGTTCAGACACACAAAAAAGCCTTAGTCAGTGGCAAGGAGGCAGCAGGTCAGTAGAGGCTGGGTTCTAGTAGAGTCTAACGTGTGACTATCCCCCACCACCTTCATCTATTTTGTGTTGTGGTGTCACTACACTTGGCTGCGGACCAAGCTATGGATTCTGCTGCTTGTAAACCACATTCTGCAGCTGTGCAGCATGAAAAAACTTGCTCCTAAAGCATAAAAAAAACCCCCAAACTTGCTCCTAAAGCATAAAAAAAACCCCCAAACTTGCTCCTAAAGCATAAAAAAAAAAAACCCCCAAACTTGCTCCTAAAGCATAAAAAAAAACCAACCCAAACTTGCTCCTAAAGCATAAAAAAAAACCAACCCAAACTTGCTCCTAAAGCATAAAAAAAAACCAACCCAAACTTGCTCCTAAAGCATAAAAAAAAACCAACCCAAACTTGCTCCTAAAGCATAAAAAAAAACCCCCCAAACTTGCTCCTAAAGCATAAAAAAAAACCCCCAAACTTGCTCCTAAAGCATAAAAAAAAACCCCCAAACTTGCTCCTAAAGCATAAAAAAAAAAACCCCAAACTTGCTCCTAAAGCATGTTTGCTGGTATGTATTAATTACTGGAAAAGTTGTGTACTGCACTGCACAGACAGCAACCTGAGGTGCGAGACTTGCACCAAGCTGGTGCTGAGCTGCACCAGACACATCATCACATACATCACAGACATCAGTGGCCATCAAAGACCATAAAGAACTAAGAGTTCCCTTCCAGCCATGGAGACCTGGGTCACTACAGGCGTGTTCTCATCTCTGTGGCCATCAGACCCAGATCAGGAGGTTCCATGCCATCTTTTACTGCTGTAGACATGGTAATAAATTATAAAATGAAATGTACCCTGTGCCATGGGCCCGCGTGAGCTGAACAGTACCCAAATGTGAGGGTGGGAATTAGGAAGAGGGGAAACGGGGTGGATTTTGTTGTGGATCAAAGAGCTCCAGAGAGCAGAGAGAAAAAAGAAAAAAAAAAAAAAAGAAAAAAGTGCTGTAGTATTTCTTTGGGGCCAGAACTGTTTATGAAATGCAGTGCAAAAATGTCACTGCCTCTCTTCCCGAGCGTCCCCTTCCCCAGTGAGGGCAGCAGTTGGGCTGGGCTTTTTTGGAGCACTGTGTTTATGTTCTCAGTATCCAGCACAGACGGGCTAAAATGTCTTTCTTGGTGTAAAAAGCAGAGGAGGAGGAAGTCACCCCACTTGGAGCAGCGTTATCACCTCCCGGGCCCTGCGGATAGGCAATGATGATAGGACCTGCCAGGTTACAACAGCTCTTTATTTTACTCGTATTATAAAACATCATCACAGGGCTTTAGTTAAACAGTGTTCACCTGTTTCAAATCATGAGCTTCATTTCCCCCTTTATTATAAATGCTAACAAATTAACTTTATTTTCCATCAGCAACACCATAAAAACTTAGTCTGACTGGACATATTTTTCAGTGATCCCCTGATGCAAAAATCTTGAAGAATTTGAACTAGATCTCTATATTGTATATACACTTAGGTTTTTATATACTTATATCAAAACTCACCATTTCTGTATATCACTCATTATCGTGATCTTTCACTTAATAAATTATGTCAGCATTATGAAAATATGAACAACCATCTACTTATTTTGCTGCTTTGTAAGATATTTAATGATTGAACAGAGAACTGCAAAATTACATAAAGGCAATGGAAAGTCATGTACACGGCCATTTAAGGTTTCCACATGGACTTTTCTTATTCCAGAACTTTTTCCACATTTTAGAAGTCCTTGAAAAGCTTCCAGTTACCTCTTTCTTTGAACACATACACACAAAAGGTTATGATGTGCGTATATGTATTATATATTACATACCGTATGTAATTTAGATATATTTATAAGCAAATATATGTAACATATGCAAATATACATATCGTATGTAATATATAGATACAGAGAGAGATACCACAGGTGTGTTGTATTCATTTAGACGTACAGGTGTATGCATAAATATAGATCTATATAGATGGTAGATTCTTCCCTCTGCTATGTGTACGCTGCTTTTTGTGGGATCTGGGTGCCTTCCCCCGCCATCCCTTGGCTTCCAAAGACACAAGCAACTGTGTCCCTGACCCACGTAACTTCTGTGAGTTTTGGCTCAAGCCTCATGAACTCCACCCTTTGAAATGGGCCCCTCTGTTAAGTTTTGGGTTAGTTTTAAATCACCAAATTAAACACAGTTGGCACTATAATGTATTGGGACTTCAAAAATAAAAGTCACACGGGGCCTGGTTCTTCTCCCACCGATGCCCATCTCATCCCAGCGGGACTGGACCGTCTGAAGGGGCTGCCACACCAACGAGGAACCTGTGAGTAGCGTGGGGCTGCTTGTCCTGGCTGTAAGAGGTAAGTCACCTAGACTTTGAGTAGGTTGAGCTCTTTATTTTGCATTTGGATCGGTGAAGGAAAGAACAGGCCTCTTATGGAAAGATAAAAGACAGATATTCACCAGAAATAACAGCATAGATTATACATTCTTAAGTGAAACGTGTCCACCATATAACCTTTGGGTTACATTTTTAATTTGTTAGATAAATATTTATTTACTGAATGCGTTTCTACTACTATGCACCTGATCAACCAGAACAACTCTTATTAAAATGTTTTAGATTCATACTCTGCATATTAAAAATACGTAATAAAATTCTGAAACTAGTCACTGCTAAAAAGTAGATCTTGGATCCTACAAAGATCCAAAGCACTTGCTTAAAATTTGTACTTGAGTAGGTCCACTGATGGCCTTTAGGTAAGTGAGTGCCTAAATATTTGCAGAATCAAGACTCTTTATTATTCAAAGGTTAAATTTGGGATTTCACACCTGAGAACATGTAGTGGTTGCTACCATGAGTAATTCCCACCGAGGAGAAGGTTGGATGTCTTGTGGCAATAGAGAGAGCAGACTCCAAGGGCGAGAGAGATTGATTTCACTCGTGTATGAAAAGTGGAGGTGGGACTGACTCTTTAAGCAGCAAAGAGCAATAATTAACAACAAATCTGCTCAAACACACTACATTTTATTTCCCAAGAAGGCCAACTTTGCATGACACATTAATAACTTAGGCGTATTTTCCCCCTTAAATATATTTGTATAACCTAAAAATAACACAACTCTATTTTAAAAAATGAAATTTGAATACAAAATTGCTTTGGGGCTGAAGCTGCCAACTTCAGCTTTCTCCCGCAGCAATTTACCGACAGCCGGGTTGTAAAACCCCATAAAACAGGGGTCTGTGGTTGGAAACGCTGACGCGGCCTCGCCTCACGCTGCCAGAAATCCTACAGCTCGTTCCCTATCTGCTCTTTCTGCTGTAAGATGGTAAATGGATTTAAATTGGCAAAACTTAAAAAAAAAAAAGAAAAAGGCAAACAAAAATGAAACTTGTGCTTCTAGAATGCCCTGACCCTGTTTGCAAAGCACTTCCCCGTGTCCCCCAGCTTTGGCATCGCTTTGCCTCTGTTATTGCCTGCCTGCTGACCCATTCTGTGGCTGATGTGTTACCCTGTATGTTGTGTAAGTGTGTATATATATGTATAAAGGAAAACTCTCAAACGAATGGGATTGATGCAAATTTACAGGTTGGTAATTTTTCCTTCATCTCTGGATTATTTCTTTTTGTAGGGTCTAGTGCTACTTTGGTTGAACCCAGTGGGGAAAGTCCCACTGAGGTCAGTGATGCAGAAGGAGCTGTTGGATGTTCAAAGACCTCTCCAGCCAACCTCTTTGTGATTCCTTCTCTCACAATATTTTTTTAAAAGTGTGTCCATTATGACCAACTGCCAATGTTAAAATTCAGTCTTTTTTTTTTTTAATACAAACAACATTTACCACAATAATATGAAGGGAAAAGCCATCAACTTCTTTGCAGGTTATTACCTATTTGTATGACACAAAAGAAAAATCATTTACAGTCACAAACTGTACATAGTATTTGGTGGGGGACAGTGTATTTGTGGTTCAGAGTAGAAAAAGGATTGCTTCAGTGGTAATTAAAATAATTACTGACGAGATAGAAGACTTTAAAATCAAGAAATAAGTGATAATTTGACTACAGAGACGATCATTGTAATATGTCTAACACAGAGTTTGGATAGTAGAAAGGTGAGTAGAGGGATGTGGGGAAGGAAAGACACGTCATGCAGAACAGCACTAGTTCTTGCTCAGTATACTCTTCAGGCTCCTCTCCACCGCTTCATCTAATTCTTCTTCCAGCTCTTCCTTCTTGGACATGGCCAGTTTGGACTGATAATCCTTTACTATTTGGTCTATATAGGGTGCGCTCTGAGTCCCGTGCAGCATCAGTGTCCACTCCTTCAGCACGCCCCGCTGCGGCAGACTGCCCACAAACCCAATCTCTAGGGCCCAGGTGCCTCGGGGGTCTTCTCCCCAAGTGTGTGTGGTCATGAAAGGCCATTTGTCAAAACCCACCTTGGAGTCGTCATCCCTGGGGCGCCGGCTCAGTAAAATGGACTTTGTTCCCATGGGCGAGGTCATGTTGATGTTGAGGTCTCCTCGCCTGGTAGAATTCACAGTTATAACTGCTTGGACGTGTTCAAGGTAGCGCACAAAGTTTTCCTTCCCCTCGCAAGCGTCAGTGGTGAGTGTGAGGAGCAGCTTGCCACTTGGTGGTATCTTTCTGCAGGTCAAAGATAATTGAGCAAGTTAAAAGGATACACAGTGTGACAGGGCTCATACTAACAATACTGGGTTTTGCTGCCTCCTAGCAAAACCCCTAGAAAACTAAAAAAAAATAAAAAAGGAAAAAACAGTGTTTCTTATTAAAAAAAGGGGAGGGGATAGGGGAGCGATAGGGGAGGGGAGGGAGAGGGGGGAGGGAAGGGAAGGGGAAGGGAAGAGGAGGGGAGGGAAGGGAAGGGGAAGGGAAGAGGAGGGGAGGGAAGGGAAGGGGAAGGGAAGAGGAGGGGAGGGAAGGGAAGGGGAAGGGAAGAGGAGGGGAGGGAAGGGAAGGGGAAGGGAAGAGGAGGGGAGGGAAGGGAAGGGGAAGGGAAGAGGAGGGGAGGGAAGGGAAGGGGAAGGGAAGAGGAGGGGAGGGAAGGGAAGGGGAAGGGAAGAGGAGGGGAGGGAAGGGAAGGGGAAGGGAAGAGGAGGGGAGGGAAGGGAAGGGGAAGGGAAGAGGAGGGGAGGGAAGGGAAGGGGAAGGGAAGAGGAGGGGAGGGAAGGGAAGGGGAAGGGAAGAGGAGGGGAGGGAAGGGAAGGGGAAGGGAAGAGGAGGGGAGGGAAGGGAAGGGGAAGGGAAGAGGAGGGGAGGGAAGGGAAGGGGAAGGGAAGAGGAGGGGAGGGAAGGGAAGGGGAAGGGAAGAGGAGGGGAGGGAAGGGAAGGGGAAGGGAAGAGGAGGGGAGGGAAGGGAAGGGGAAGGGAAGAGGAGGGGAGGGAAGGGAAGGGGAAGGGAAGAGGAGGGGAGGGAAGGGAAGGGGAAGGGAAGAGGAGGGGAGGGAAGGGAAGGGGAAGGGAAGAGGAGGGGAGGGAAGGGAAGGGGAAGGGAAGAGGAGGGGAGGGAAGGGAAGGGGAAGGGAAGAGGAGGGGAGGGAAGGGAAGGGGAAGGGAAGAGGAGGGGAGGGAAGGGAAGGGGAAGGGAAGAGGAGGGGAGGGAAGGGAAGGGGAAGGGAAGAGGAGGGGAGGGAAGGGAAGGGGAAGGGAAGAGGAGGGGAGGGAAGGGAAGGGGAAGGGAAGAGGAGGGGAGGGAAGGGAAGGGGAAGGGAAGAGGAGGGGAGGGAAGGGAAGGGGAAGGGAAGAGGAGGGGAGGGAAGGGAAGGGGAAGGGAAGAGGAGGGGAGGGAAGGGAAGGGGAAGGGAAGAGGAGGGGAGGGAAGGGAAGGGGAAGGGAAGAGGAGGGGAGGGAAGGGAAGGGGAAGGGAAGAGGAGGGGAGGGAAGGGAAGGGGAAGGGAAGAGGAGGGGAGGGAAGGGAAGGGGAAGGGAAGAGGAGGGGAGGGAAGGGAAGGGGAAGGGAAGAGGAGGGGAGGGAAGGGAAGGGGAAGGGAAGAGGAGGGGAGGGAAGGGAAGGGGAAGGGAAGAGGAGGGGAGGGAAGGGAAGGGGAAGGGAAGAGGAGGGGAGGGAAGGGAAGGGGAAGGGAAGAGGAGGGGAGGGAAGGGAAGGGGAAGGGAAGAGGAGGGGAGGGAAGGGAAGGGGAAGGGAAGAGGAGGGGAGGGAAGGGAAGGGGAAGGGAAGAGGAGGGGAGGGAAGGGAAGGGGAAGGGAAGAGGAGGGGAGGGAAGGGAAGGGGAAGGGAAGAGGAGGGGAGGGAAGGGAAGGGGAAGGGAAGAGGAGGGGAGGGAAGGGAAGGGGAAGGGAAGAGGAGGGGAGGGAAGGGAAGGGGAAGGGAAGAGGAGGGGAGGGAAGGGAAGGGGAAGGGAAGAGGAGGGGAGGGAAGGGAAGGGGAAGGGAAGAGGAGGGGAGGGAAGGGAAGGGGAAGGGAAGAGGAGGGGAGGGAAGGGAAGGGGAAGGGAAGAGGAGGGGAGGGAAGGGAAGGGGAAGGGAAGAGGAGGGGAGGGAAGGGAAGGGGAAGGGAAGAGGAGGGGAGGGAAGGGAAGGGGAAGGGAAGAGGAGGGGAGGGAAGGGAAGGGGAAGGGAAGAGGAGGGGAGGGAAGGGAAGGGGAAGGGAAGAGGAGGGGAGGGAAGGGAAGGGGAAGGGAAGAGGAGGGGAGGGAAGGGAAGGGGAAGGGAAGAGGAGGGGAGGGAAGGGAAGGGGAAGGGAAGAGGAGGGGAGGGAAGGGAAGGGGAAGGGAAGAGGAGGGGAGGGAAGGGAAGGGGAAGGGAAGAGGAGGGGAGGGAAGGGAAGGGGAAGGGAAGAGGAGGGGAGGGAAGGGAAGGGGAAGGGAAGAGGAGGGGAGGGAAGGGAAGGGGAAGGGAAGAGGAGGGGAGGGAAGGGAAGGGGAAGGGAAGAGGAGGGGAGGGAAGGGAAGGGGAAGGGAAGAGGAGGGGAGGGAAGGGAAGGGGAAGGGAAGAGGAGGGGAGGGAAGGGAAGGGGAAGGGAAGAGGAGGGGAGGGAAGGGAAGGGGAAGGGAAGAGGAGGGGAGGGAAGGGAAGGGGAAGGGAAGAGGAGGGGAGGGAAGGGAAGGGGAAGGGAAGAGGAGGGGAGGGAAGGGAAGGGGAAGGGAAGAGGAGGGGAGGGAAGGGAAGGGGAAGGGAAGAGGAGGGGAGGGAAGGGAAGGGGAAGGGAAGAGGAGGGGAGGGAAGGGAAGGGGAAGGGAAGAGGAGGGGAGGGAAGGGAAGGGGAAGGGAAGAGGAGGGGAGGGAAGGGAAGGGGAAGGGAAGAGGAGGGGAGGGAAGGGAAGGGGAAGGGAAGAGGAGGGGAGGGAAGGGAAGGGGAAGGGAAGAGGAGGGGAGGGAAGGGAAGGGGAAGGGAAGAGGAGGGGAGGGAAGGGAAGGGGAAGGGAAGAGGAGGGGAGGGAAGGGAAGGGGAAGGGAAGAGGAGGGGAGGGAAGGGAAGGGGAAGGGAAGAGGAGGGGAGGGAAGGGAAGGGGAAGGGAAGAGGAGGGGAGGGAAGGGAAGGGGAAGGGAAGAGGAGGGGAGGGAAGGGAAGGGGAAGGGAAGAGGAGGGGAGGGAAGGGAAGGGGAAGGGAAGAGGAGGGGAGGGAAGGGAAGGGGAAGGGAAGAGGAGGGGAGGGAAGGGAAGGGGAAGGGAAGAGGAGGGGAGGGAAGGGAAGGGGAAGGGAAGAGGAGGGGAGGGAAGGGAAGGGGAAGGGAAGAGGAGGGGAGGGAAGGGAAGGGGAAGGGAAGAGGAGGGGAGGGAAGGGAAGGGGAAGGGAAGAGGAGGGGAGGGAAGGGAAGGGGAAGGGAAGAGGAGGGGAGGGAAGGGAAGGGGAAGGGAAGAGGAGGGGAGGGAAGGGAAGGGGAAGGGAAGAGGAGGGGAGGGAAGGGAAGGGGAAGGGAAGAGGAGGGGAGGGAAGGGAAGGGGAAGGGAAGAGGAGGGGAGGGAAGGGAAGGGGAAGGGAAGAGGAGGGGAGGGAAGGGAAGGGGAAGGGAAGAGGAGGGGAGGGAAGGGAAGGGGAAGGGAAGAGGAGGGGAGGGAAGGGAAGGGGAAGGGAAGAGGAGGGGAGGGAAGGGAAGGGGAAGGGAAGAGGAGGGGAGGGAAGGGAAGGGGAAGGGAAGAGGAGGGGAGGGAAGGGAAGGGGAAGGGAAGAGGAGGGGAGGGAAGGGAAGGGGAAGGGAAGAGGAGGGGAGGGAAGGGAAGGGGAAGGGAAGAGGAGGGGAGGGAAGGGAAGGGGAAGGGAAGAGGAGGGGAGGGAAGGGAAGGGGAAGGGAAGAGGAGGGGAGGGAAGGGAAGGGGAAGGGAAGAGGAGGGGAGGGAAGGGAAGGGGAAGGGAAGAGGAGGGGAGGGAAGGGAAGGGGAAGGGAAGAGGAGGGGAGGGAAGGGAAGGGGAAGGGAAGAGGAGGGGAGGGAAGGGAAGGGGAAGGGAAGAGGAGGGGAGGGAAGGGAAGGGGAAGGGAAGAGGAGGGGAGGGAAGGGAAGGGGAAGGGAAGAGGAGGGGAGGGAAGGGAAGGGGAAGGGAAGAGGAGGGGAGGGAAGGGAAGGGGAAGGGAAGAGGAGGGGAGGGAAGGGAAGGGGAAGGGAAGAGGAGGGGAGGGAAGGGAAGGGGAAGGGAAGAGGAGGGGAGGGAAGGGAAGGGGAAGGGAAGAGGAGGGGAGGGAAGGGAAGGGGAAGGGAAGAGGAGGGGAGGGAAGGGAAGGGGAAGGGAAGAGGAGGGGAGGGAAGGGAAGGGGAAGGGAAGAGGAGGGGAGGGAAGGGAAGGGGAAGGGAAGAGGAGGGGAGGGAAGGGAAGGGGAAGGGAAGAGGAGGGGAGGGAAGGGAAGGGGAAGGGAAGAGGAGGGGAGGGAAGGGAAGGGGAAGGGAAGAGGAGGGGAGGGAAGGGAAGGGGAAGGGAAGAGGAGGGGAGGGAAGGGAAGGGGAAGGGAAGAGGAGGGGAGGGAAGGGAAGGGGAAGGGAAGAGGAGGGGAGGGAAGGGAAGGGGAAGGGAAGAGGAGGGGAGGGAAGGGAAGGGGAAGGGAAGAGGAGGGGAGGGAAGGGAAGGGGAAGGGAAGAGGAGGGGAGGGAAGGGAAGGGGAAGGGAAGAGGAGGGGAGGGAAGGGAAGGGGAAGGGAAGAGGAGGGGAGGGAAGGGAAGGGGAAGGGAAGAGGAGGGGAGGGAAGGGAAGGGGAAGGGAAGAGGAGGGGAGGGAAGGGAAGGGGAAGGGAAGAGGAGGGGAGGGAAGGGAAGGGGAAGGGAAGAGGAGGGGAGGGAAGGGAAGGGGAAGGGAAGAGGAGGGGAGGGAAGGGAAGGGGAAGGGAAGAGGAGGGGAGGGAAGGGAAGGGGAAGGGAAGAGGAGGGGAGGGAAGGGAAGGGGAAGGGAAGAGGAGGGGAGGGAAGGGAAGGGGAGAGAAAGGGAAGGGGAAGGGGGGAACAGAGCAAGCCTATCAATTAGGGGCTAATACTCTTTGCTTTGCTACACTAATTACTATAGTCCAGGGGAATTTCCTCAAAGAAACAAAAAGCCTAACACCAAAGGAGCATAAGAGGAGATGGGTTTTCCAAACCATCACAGTGTGCCACTGTCTAATTGATATATATATATATAGAGAGAGAGAGAGAGAGAGAGAGAGAGAGAGAGATAAAAATACATAGTCAGTTTTTCATGAAGTGTAGTACCCAGTTAGAGATGAGCAGGGGGAGCTCACCTCTCTAGAAGGACACTGCCATGCTCCTGTTCCTCAGCTAATGGACCACCATGTCCTAAATCATCTTTATATCTCCCTGAACCAGACAGAACCAGGCTTGTCCATTTTTTTCCTTTTTGCTGACCCAAAAAAACCCCTTTTCAGGGAAAGTTCCTATCGCTAAGAAGTGTTTCTACACTTTAAATACCGATTGCTTTCTCTCTATATTCTAGGTCGTCAATTCTTTCCTGGCCTGTTTCTGCTAAGTGACACTGCTGCTCTGGAACACACCTCTGTATCAGCTACTCACCTACCTAAATCTATACTGAATATATATTTTATATATACAGACATATATATTGATATAAACCTACATAGATTATCTACAGAAAAATAACCCAGTTACCATGGCAGAAGTGCAGTGTAATTTTCATTCCCAAGGAATCCCTGGAGATGCTGGGACTCAACTAGTTTTATTTACAGTGTAATTCAAAAAACGTAGATGTTGCATGTCATGATACTTACTATCTCCTGTAGGTGACACTTTCACTGGGGGATGTAAATATTACAGCAGTCCTATTTATTAACAAATAATGTGTTGGGTAATTATAGGGGGGCCATACAGGGGTCAGGAGGCTTAGGTTGTGGCTGACTTGGTTGAACTTTATAGATCTGCATGCTGTCAGCACAAAGCCTGTTCTGGGCACTGCTCTCAAAAGACACCGACACAAGGCAGGGTATTTCTCAACTCTGGAGCTCGTTGGGCAATGACAGCTCCAAGGAAGCTTTACTGCAGCTCCAGATCCCTGGGCTGGGGGAAATGCACCATCACCTCTGCTCTTCTGGCTGTTCAACAGCAGAAACGGGGCAGAAAAACAAAGACAGAAGGAGCCAACACCGCTGCACAGCCCGTGCCCACCTCTGGCTCAGACTGTGGACAGAAGACCTCTACACCACACTGTCTAACACATGGAGCCAAGCCTACAGAAAGCAGTTTTCTCTTCCTCTAGAATGATCCTCATTTCAATAAATGAGGCTGCGCTAAGATAAATGATTATTTGTCTGCATTTAAATTATGAATAAACTAGACATAGCTCAAAACTAGCTTCAGCACTCTCTCATTTCTTTCCTACCTAGAACATGCACAGCAGGCCAGATAAATTAAAACTCAGATCTCAGCTGGTAGAACCTGGGATCCTGCAAATACAAACCCACCTGGAGGCTGGGAACAAACTTATTCTTTGCCTGGCTGAGCAACGTGCCAGGGTGGCGTACTGATTTCCTTTCTTTTTCCAATTGAATAATGATGCCTTCAAAAATGGCACTGAAAACTCAAATTCAAATGGTATAGACATAAATTGCCCATTATTAGATTAGTATTTTGAGTAATTAAATTGAACTATAGCTGTTGCAGTCAATTAGTATTAATTCATTCACTTGTTGACTCATTCACTTTAGCACATGAAGGTAAATCAGAAAATAATTTGACTACCTAGCCTGCAATTAGAGATTTGAAGAACATAAACCCAAACACAATTAAATGCTATAGTCTTCAAACTGAATCACTGGTACCTGTAGATGATTGTGCCAGTCTTCTGGAGATAAAACTGTCTGCTGGAATATGTCACAAGGAGATATGACCTGGCTGACAGGTACTACATGTGGCAGCAGTTTATGTAATTTGCAGTGCCAGCCTCCCAGATTTCCTCTTATGCACAGGCTCTTTATTTGCAGAAACTCTGGCACAGACCTACCTGTAAGTCCCCAGGGGGAAGGGATGCTGCTAGTAACACCACTGGCACTAGCAATGGTGATACAGGAGCTGTGGGATGCACTCCTCCAGCAAACCAAGAACTGAAAGAGCATGTAGTTTATTTTATCAACTTATTGATATAGTTGGAATGCTACTGGTAATGTCTGGCTTTCTTAGAAAAAAGTGTTATCTTTCTTTGACTATCTATGTCTTTGTCAATGTATTTGTATGCTTGTGGTCTCCTAAATGCCTGGAAAAAGCCAAAATACGTATACGAGAACATTCACTTACTCAGGTTCCTGTATTGAGCCTCCAACACAATGGAATCTCTCGGGGACAGTCTTCCAGTCTTTCGCCATCTTAACCATTGCTCCTGCATCTAGGACACCGTAGCCAAACAGATGGTTGAATTCCAGCCCAACGCCATTTCTACGCCACTGATGAACCTCATCGTGAAGCTGGTTCCTCTTGGAGGTGAGCACTGTCAGATGCTGCATGTCTCTCCATGTCAGATCCAAGCTGTGGAAGAGCAACACAGAAACCAAACAGTACAGTATTTCCAAGCGGATAATTAAAGACTTGTTTGAGTAAGGCTTTTGGTAAAATTTGCTTCTATGAATCACACAGAAATTGTATCTATACATATATCAATAACAAAGCTGCTGTTGATTTCAGTGGGAACAAGAATAGGTTTTAATTGTATAGTACTTCCCCAAAATGTATTCCCCAAAATTGCAAAATCACTTCTGATTGTTTCCCTGTTCTTGAAAACAACCGCTTTTAACTAGACATTATAGATCCACCGTGCAATTTTTAAGCTAATAAAATGAGTGGGGTATTATACCAGATCCTGAAAAGTATACAGAAAGAAGATGATGATGACAGATTTTCGCCTAACCTTCCTCTTAAATCTTGCCCTCTTTTCCTTGCCTGCTCCTCCTGCTTTTCCCATGGACCTTCCAAGCCTCATCCCGAGAAGCCCCAATCTGATGAAGCTGATGAGCTACAACAATCAAGGAAGGTGTTAGTAATTTCAGTGTTCTGTGAATATGGATGTATAGGCTGTGGGTGGCTGCAGGTTTGCATTATAAGGTAGGGTAGGGGTTTGTCACCCATGATACACTAGCATGGACGGATGCAGTCAAGTAACATTTGTCTAGATTCAGTGATCATTTTTCATCATCAGCTCTTGTCTTCCTAGATTTGCAGTGATTACGATGACAGGAAGGGCACTTTTAAGTTATTATTCTGGAAGCTTTAGAACTGACATTCTAATTCTACATAACTAAAGCTATTCCAGTTGTTTTATGATGAACTCTTTGAACACTACAATGTGTCTGATTCAAACCATCAGCCTAAAAGGATCCGCTTTTCAGCTTTCTGTGCCCTAAGTAATAAGCATGTGTGCATGCTGAATGTACACCCGAATAGCCAATTACCATCATTTTTCCAAGGTGACACAGCTGAAAACCAGATATCACTTGCATCACTCTTACTGAAATCTTTTAAGAGCTACTCAAAACTGTACTTTCCATTTCACAGACTGGTCTGGCTTTAGAGCCGTGTCAGATATACATTATATATGAACTGTCAGACGTACTGCAGGCAGGAGCTGTCTGCACAGGAGATAGTCAGCCGTTCCTGTGAAGGCTGCTGTAACTCAGCCAGGGCAGTTCTACACAACATATTTTAATAGAGCCAGTCTGCCTGTAGGTTCTCAGGTTGTAGTCCACGTTAAACATGCAGTAGTCCAAAAATTCATTAAACCTTTATATTTTTATGGCCATCTTAGTTTGTTACATGGTGGCTGTCCAATGAACGAATTTGATAGCAGAAGGAATGATCCTCCAAAGTCAAGCACCTGGCATGTGTGTTTTACCTGTATGAAACCTGAAAAATGAGACTTGGCCCAAGTCATGCTCCGAGCACAACAACCAGTGCTCTGCTAATGATGTAAACTCTGTCTCCTCTGCCAAATCTTCATTCTGCTGTGCTGTTGAGGGAAATTCTGTACATAGTGCTCGCTTCACGCCATGGTTACAGCAACTGAAGCTGAGCAAATGTTGCCTGACTTCATAAAATAATTTTACACAAAATAAAAACATGGTATAGGTTATTGTAAGGAAAACTCTTCCTAATTGTTAGAGAAGATGATAAACAAGATATATGAGAGGGCTCCGATGTTGTGAATAGCATGGAGATGGTAAATAGAAAATGGATATTTACTCTTTCATGTAACAGAGAAACGATGTAGCACAGAAGCAAATTACCAGCAATGGGCTAAGAAAAAACAAAGGAAACATTGCCCACCACCATCATCAAAAATACTAATACTGTGGAACTGATTGCCACTGGATGACACAGGTGCCAAATACAGACAAGTTGAAAACCAGACAAATTCAAGGAAGATAAGTGTGCCCGTGGCTATTAAACAGGACAGGCTGACTGCTCTCTTTCCAAACCACTGATTGCCAAATCCCCCTTTGTTGTACCCTTCCTAAAGCATCTGTGACTGCAGACAGTATGTGGCACAAGGTGAACTCCCCTCTGATACTACAGGTTTGTTCTTGTGTTTTTGTAGGCTGGGCATTCCACACTGGGCATGTGGAGGAATGCAATAATCTCTTCCTCCTAACAGTGCTGGAGAAGACAAACCCCTGGAAGCAGTGGATGGAGAGGACACAGAGAGAGCTTGTCAGCCAAAAGGCATCTGCCATATGGCTTTGGCGAGACTGTTGCTCCACCTGTAAGTTACCGTGCACGTCACTGCTGTAGCAGCAGCCTGTTAGCTGCTTGTTCTAGCCCTGTGCCACAGACAGCCAACTTAAATGATGAACAACATCCAACAAACTGCAGGCCCTCTCCTCTCTAGAGCTCACAAGAAATTTCTCAACAGCATACTTAGCCTCCAGGGCCAAGGCGAACACTCCGGCGGCTTCAGGGGCAGCTGCAGACGTTCCCGAGTGACGCAGCGTGCAGTTCCCATACAAGTCCGTTGTAGCCTGCAATGATATTAGATGTAATTAATGAAACCAGCCAGCCCATTTTCCTTGCAGCTACAGACTCACAAAAAATACAGCAAGTGGATTTTGTGTCCTTGCTCTTGCGTGTTTTCTTCCCTTTAGAACAGCGTACCAATTTAAAAACACAGTGAGACATAGTTACAGAAGCTGTAAATGCAAGACTAGATCATGATGTAGTAAAACAATGTTCATTACCACTTAGAACTCATAAACTCATGTAGATGGCATTTATTTCCTACAAACATGGCATTTATTTCCTACAAACACAGTTTAACCAAAAGCCTTAAATTCCCACGTGGGTACAGAGGGATTTGAGACCAGAATTGTTAACAGTATTGAGCTTTCTAACATTTGTGCAACTCCAGAACCAGCAGCAGCACCAGGCTGTGCAGATCAGTCACTAGAAGAGACCAGAAGGAAACCTCAGAAATACATTTGATGGTGATAATTACAAAGGTGCCACAGATCATCTTGGCTGTATCAGCACAGAGCTGATACCAAGTCCAAAATCAGTATTTTTCCATCTGCTACTGCACGTGGGCCTTTAGGAGCATGTCTTTGGGGTGTCAGACAGGGCCATGGAAAATGTGTAAAAGCTGTTGACAAAAACTAACCTTGAGCTACTACACCTGAATTTTCTACTCTGTGAATTAGACTATGTCCTGGTGAGTCTGAAGGTGCTGAAGAGCAGCAATCAGTGCGGTGGAAGAGAATCCCAACTACACTCGAACCGAAACTGCACATTTTCCAGTTGTAGGTATGGCCCTGGAGGGGCCTTGGGTACAATGAGGGTGATGTGACCCCCCCCAGTTCCTCTGTGGGTGACCATGTCTTTCTGCTCTGTGCAGCTTGTATAGCACAGCAGAAGTCTGGTTCATGACTGCTGTTGTCAGTTCGAGTAAGTATGATCTCAGATGTTGACACTTCTCATTTTGGTTTTTACAGTGACTTTTTGTCACACTGTCCTCTGCAAAGAGTGCAATTGAACTTCTAAATCTGATTTCTAATAAAGGAAAGCACCGACAACATGAAGCTCTAAGAGATGGAAGATCATTGCTGTTCTCAATATTAATCCCACATCTCCTCAGCTGACAGTTTTGGCACCATCACGTATTGCAGATGAGAAAACATCCATCTCAACAAAGAACCATCTGCTGCTCCAAAGCAGATAGAGTTGTAACAGGTCGTGGGAGTGCACAAAGACAGCAGCAACAGCACAATAATATCTGGACTCACCACGCCAGCCTCCGGATTTCTCTTCCTCCCGTTGCTAAAGGTGGAGGCTAAGGTTGAAGAGCAGCTTTCATCATACAGAGCCGTCCGTCCATCGTTTATAGCAGAATTGATGGAGATTGTCCACATGCTGGATGCGTAACCATCACAGTTACAGTCGTCGTAGCTGCCCCCATCTCCAGAGGCCCACACATAGATGCTTCCTTTGCCGCCTCGGCCCTGTAAAAGGGGAAAAGAGACCCTTTTGTGTTAAATGGCAAATAGGAGATAGCAGCTACTTTAAACAGCACATCTAATTGTAAAGCTAGGCACCTAGAAAGGAGAAAACTGGTCCAAACAAAACATACATCAACCTTAAGCTGAAATAACATGGACTTCTGCAGGTTATTAAATGCAGTTAACTGGCAGCCACCGCCAGTTCTGCAGCCTCACGTACACAGTGCACTTCCATTTATCTCCTGTTTAGCTTCACGCCCTGAAGGCTCCTGTGCCAGATGCTGAGACATTTTATGGATTCATTAGCGTTTATGTCAAGGTCTAAGTGCTATGAGGAAAGCGTTCTTTTAAAAGGGATATAGGTCATCTCATACGCCGGGTTTGTGAGATCCAATTAGGCCCAGGCAATGGCTGAAAAACTCTGTAAAACTGGCACCTTTTTCTCTCAATAGATTTGTCTCCAAAGATATCACTGACTCAGAGCTGTTTTTCTGACAAACCAGCTTCTACTACTAAGCAGAAAATAAAGTTATGGGACCATATGAATCATCTACAGAAAGAAGTTCTACCCATTACACTGAGAAGGCGAGAGATGGATGGGAGAGACTGACGCTGAAGGGCAGCTATAAAGGCTTCCCATTAGTTAAAGGAAAGAAATCCCTGTTCTCTCCCCAGCTCCCAGGCAAGCAAGGAGTGGGAAGGGATCAACTCAGCTTCCTCGTCTCACCTCTTTTCACAGCACCAGAAGGGCGCGAGGCCTCAATTTAACACACCTCAATTTAACACACCATTTATATACATTGGGCAGAATGTGAGAAAAAAAATCTCCTCTGGTCTCTTCATTGTCCAGCACGAAATGGATGTTGAAGAATATACAAACATAGCAACCTGCAATGGTATTTTAATAGGGAACCTCTTCTGCCAGGAATTTAAATGAAATCTAAGCTCCCAGCAGTAGCTTCTATTTTTCATCATACCCCACTGAACAGAGCAACCTCATTATTTCAAGCATGTTAGTGAGTTGCATTATAATCCACTGAATTGCACAGCAGGTTTGCTGCCACTGGGGTACATAGCATCTAGGACATAGATTTTCATAATTAAGATGATGACTATGAAAACGCTTATTGAAATGAGTCTAAAAATTCCCACAAAGATCCGAGATCAATCATTTGAGTTTTAAGGGAGGAGGATGCTGTTGCAAAAATATATACTCAAAGAACAAAATAATTCCAGCAAACTACTTTTAAAAAATTAAAAAGATCAGCATAACAAGAACAGCTATGCCTTTTTTTCTCTTTGACTTCTTTCCTTACAAGGCCCAACCCTGGGCTTTGGACTCACTTCAGAGGCTACATCCCAAGCTTGCCATCATGCCCACACACACCATCACACCACCTTGCCACCACCTGCCTCCTTTGGACAGCCTCAGTGGCAGCTCCAGCACATCTCTGTCTGTCCCAAAAAGGCAGGCTGCCACCAAACGCAGAGAGCAGGTGGCTGCTGGGGCCAGGAATAGGAGGGTTTGGCATCTATGGACCCGTTCTCAAACAACCTTTTCCTTCCAGCCATTTTAAACAGTGAGGAAAGGCTTCATTTCCATGTGATAAATTCCCAACAGGAGCTCGGTGCCTGGGAGTTGAGACTTGCTGCTTACATTTCCCACGGCCAGAACCTGTGGGAGTTGGGAAGTTTGGGCAGGAAAACTGCCTGGAGACCATCCTCAGGCATCGTTTCATTTACCAGGCAGAAACACAAGGCTTCAGGGGAAGTCAGTTTTCAATTCTCTGGATGGTAGTAGTCTAAACCAGGAAAATCCCAGTTGGGCCAACTGGGTTGTATTTAAAGCAAACGGAAAGCTCCTATTTGCATCTCAACTTTATATGAACCTAAAAAATTCCAGTGCTGTCACCCAACTTAGGCTGCTGTAAAATCAGGCCAAAAGCAGGACTGGAGAAGGCGGCAGTAATGCACAATACAAAGCAGAGGGAGCCTGAAGGAAGACTCAGGAAGAAGAGAGAAGACCAGCAAGATAGTAAGGTATATTTTAAAGAGTATCTTTCCTACGGAATCCTGCTGAAACCTCCTCGTTTCCCTCCAAAGCGATGCCCAGCGTGGCACCCACACTCTGAGCCATCTGAACCTGTACCTCAGAGCTGAAAATAAATCTTGGTGCATTTAGTACTAGCTCGATAGAGGCCCACCTCTCAATTCAGGCTAAACCAGAATTAAATCCTGGGCAAGGCTATATGCTTAGAAAGTCACAGACAGCTACTGAGAAGCTCTCTTTCCAGAAACAGCAGGTTTTCTATTTCCAGTGTCCTTTGTGGGATGTTGTGCTACTAGCAAAAAATATCCCTGAGAAATTTTTTTTACCCCTTTTCTCATCTTCTAAAGAGCATAATCCCAGAAAAACTTCTTTACTCAACTAACCTGCAAAAGCGAGCTGGCAGGGAACTGGAGCCTAATTCACTTTATGTAACTTCAGGCACGTCTTAAACTTCTTTTTCCTTGTTATTGCGTTCATTCATCATGGTTACCGGGCTTGTGACTAAGGCAGTGTTTCTCTAAGTTTTGATTGCTGGACCACACTTGCCAGATAATAATGGGTGGTATTTGATAAATAGATCTCCTCCAACTTCCCTGACCTTTCCCATCAAGGCTGGCAAGTGGCTGTGTAGTAACAGCTGAGCCTCTAACACGGCGTGGCCTCTGCAATGGCTCCTGGGTTCTGGCCATCGGGGTTGCTGAAGATGGATGGAAGGAACATAACAGTCTTTGCAGCACGTTTCTGATGCCCTTTGGCTTTGGCCTAATCCCTCAGTTACAGATCAGGACCGACAGTTTTCCAACAGTACAAGCTAAAACCAAAGAACAGACTCCTGACCTGAAAAGCCAAGTACCAGGGAACGAACAGCACGAGGACACCAGCAGGCAGATGGGCTCAGGGTAAGAAGGGAAAAAAAACCAGCACCTGACTATGAGGAAGTACTTTTTTTTTTAGGCGCAGTAAAAAGGTATTTCAGGATAAGGACAGCCAAATGGATTGCTGATATTTATGGACTGTCCCATTTCTAAGGAAGAAAATGCAGATGGAGCACATTTTAAAAAAAAAAAAAAACCAAAAACAGCTGGAAATTGCCTTCTGTAACAAATCCAGAGCACATTATTTTATAAGCACCTTTCTTTCTGCGTGACATATGATAGCTATTTTCTAATTCTTCCCCTTAAGAAAACAGAAGTGTTTCAGCATCTTCTATATAATTTAATAGCAATTTATGTGCCTGCTATGGTAAGAGAGAGGATGGTTTTCCAGGAAAAGTGAAAAATTCTACAGCTTTTTCACATCTTTGCCACATGTCCTATTGAGTTATGAATAGGACTCAGTTTCCATCCCCTATTAACTTTGACTGTATTTTCCTCTGAAAAGAGTGTTTCTTTCTCTTCAGGACTCAATTATTTGAAAATCCTTACGAGTTTTGTAATTAAAAACTGCATCTTTCAGTAACGATTGCTAATTATCTCAGAAAGTGTCGTTTGCAGCTCAGGCAGGCAATGGGAATCCGCCATGGTGCCCCCAGGCTGGTGCAGGCCAAGGCAAGGATGGAGTGTGGAGGAGCTGTGGGACCATTTGCCCGCTGTCGAGGAGCACAGGGCTGGGCTCTCAAGACATCCTGGAGCCCACGCAGAGACCTCTCTCTGCCCTGGTCTCCTCACCACTCCTGTGCACGAGCAGTCGGGCTCGGTGGCATGAGCCAGCTGGAGGCAGCGAGTCCTTGGCATCACTGAGCTGCTGCTCCTCTTTGGCACTGCCAGGGTTTTCTGGAGCGCGTTCCTGCATCCCTGACGTGGTGCCAGCTGGACAGCCCCGTGAGCCCTCGCTCTCCTGGCTCCTCCAGCTACCTCTGCATCTGCCAGGCTGGTCCACCCAGAGCAATCTGTGCCTTGCTGGACCCCCTTACCCCCTTCCTATTCTGATTTCTTGGGCAGTGCTAAAATCTAAGGCAAAATCCATGCCTGACACCCAGCCAAGTAACCTCAATTTAACCACACAGACACCAAAGTTTTAAGCAGGAAACATATTTGGATTTCCAAAGTTTGCCACGGCACACGTCCAGGGGGACACCTGTCTTTTTTGAGCTGACTGCCTCAGCACTTCTCCCACGTCCAGCCCCTTCTGAAAGCCTGGAGCTGCTGTACCGTATCCCAGGATGCATGTCCTGCCCAGCACACCCCCAGGTCATTGAGTTCAGCGCAGGAGAAACAACAGCAGGGTTATCCTACTCAAATTCCCCACTGGTGAAGGCGGTGTCCCTTCACTGGTGGCCATCTAACCCTCAATTCAATGGGGAAGGAGGAAAGGCTGTTTTGGCAGGAGCAAGAACTCAGCCAAACACCTGGCTGCTATGCCAAGGATGACACCTGGAACCATGTTTCAGTTGTGCTTCTCCTGTGTTTTCGTCCATCTCATATTTTGTTGCCTTCCATAACTGCTTATCTGGCTCTTCCTAGCAGATTTCTGAAACTATTTGGATCAAGCAATAATTACCCAAGTCAAGAGATTGCTGCGTACAAGATTCTCAAAGAAATAAGCCCTATAATTGTGAAAACCTAACAAAAGGCTTTACGTAACTTATTCTATACTTGGTCACAGAAAGTACTGAACCCCACAAGCCCCCAATTAATTGCATAATTCTTAATACCTCCTTTGGCTAAAAATAATACTTGAGCCATATTCTATGCCTAAATTACTATTGAAACTGGATGGACGTTTGTTAGCCAAGAGAAACAATTGGAAAATTACACTTTTGGTGAAGAGAGAGAGCGTTAGGTTTCAATTAGGGTTCAGTCCAGCAGGGAAATGGGAGAGGGCACTTTGAAAACGCAGAGACAAAACCTTTTCATTATCCGTTCCTTTTTGCTGGACGCTGGGCTGCGTACCACAAGTGATAATGCATTACTCTAGCCCAGCAATTCTCAAGGCATAGTTCTGGCATCCATAA